TGTGTGTGTGTTTATATTTCTTGTGTAATAGCTCTGTGTATTGTGAGTGGTTAGACCACCTTAATCTTGATTGCAGTGGATTTAATTGTCAGCTTCCTGTCTGGGAAGAAAGGCAAGGACAGAATGTGTATCTTGTATGTACTAAGCATTCTTTAGCTACCTTCATCTCTGTGCAGATGTGTCATTAAGTGATTTGTTCAAGTGGTGTGCCTCCACTTGGATGCAGACTCCCTCAGGTCACATGCTGCTGTGTCTTTGATGGACAAATCCTTTCCTGTTTATGGCTATACATGCACTCTTGTGAGTACTTGGTACTAATTTCTAGTTATCTCACCTTTCAGATGAGAGACAGTCTTCACTTCTCATCGAGGTTCTGGACCAAGGTTATTCTGCTCCACACTTACCATAGCGCAGTCACGTGCAGCTCCCGTCAGTTTGGTCAGAGTTCTTAGCACTTGCTTTCCTGTACCATTTTTGGTTAATGAAACAGGTGGAATGGTGCAGAGGATTTGATTTTTAAAACACTAAAGGCTCTGACCTCAGTGTTAGCAAGTCACCTATTGTCTCAGCCTCCGTTTCCCTATTTCAGCGTACTATCTGGGTGTGGTGACACACACCTTTACATGCCAGCACTGGGAGGCAGAGACAGGCTACTCTACATAGTGAGTTCCAGGACATCCAGGGCTACATAGACCCTGCCTCCAGATAAATAAATAAATAAATAAATAAATAAATAAATAAATAAATAAATAAATAAATAGAGAGAGAGAGAGAGAGAGAGAGAGAGAGAGAAAGAAAGAAAGAAAGAAAGAAAGAAAGAAAGAAAGAAAGAAAGAAAGAAAGAAAGAAAAAATAGCTGCAAATACTTTGAAGAACACTAAAGCCCAATGCAGAGTTCCAGGACATCCAGGGCTACATAGACCCTGCCTACAGACAAAGTAATAGCTGGAGATAATTTGAAGAACACTAAAGCCCAATGCAGATTTAATTTTATAAATAATTTTGGTGTTCTGCATTCTTAGATTTACCATGAATGGGGATGATACTGGGTATAGAAATGCATTTTTTTTATTTTGAAAATTTCATACATGTATACCATGTATCTTGATTCTATTCACCCCCACTCTCTCCTACTGTCCTGGGCCTCTCTAAACACATCGCCCTCCCAACTTACTGGCTGTTTTACAAAGTCCCACTGCCTTCATTTAGTGCTGCCCATGGGTGTACATGCCACCATGTACATAAGTGTGGGGTCATCCACTAGGACATGGGCAGCAAGCCCATCAGTCACATCAATATCCACTGTGTGCAGGCAAGGACAGAGAAAGATTTGGGTGTACTGAGGTCTGGCTGTGGAGTAATTCTCACATGGGACTCTGTCTCAAAACAAAAGCCAAGAAAGAGTCAGGTATTCTTTTGAGTGCCAATACACTGTAGTAGCTACTTTATTCAGGAATGCTAATTTATTCAGTGGTGACATTGTAGTGAAAAAGGCCAGCTAAAGAGGTCAGGAAAGTCTTTCCACCAACTGGCTCAGCAGATCTTTGGAGGATGTTAGTATAGCTGGTCTGCTGGAGAAACAGACATTCATTTAGGCAGAAGAACTGAAAGACGCAAAACTAAGACTGTCAAGAGGTATGTCTGGCTTCAGACTTGTAAAGAGCAGCCTGTAGGGACAGAAATGAAGGAAATTAAAATACAGAGAGGGTAAGTTATGCATGAAGTTGTGTTGATTCCTGTGACTCAAAAGTATATTGCTTATGTGGCCATCACCTGAAGGTTATGGCAGTAGACCAGAAGTTGTTTTATAATGGGGCTGCTATGCACATCGAAAATAATTTAAGCCCAAGAAAGACCTCAGCATTGCATTTCTTTCCTGGAGCAGCTTAAACAGT